ATTGTATAAAGTAAATATATTTACGTTGTAAATGAACTGAACTGAATGCCAGCAACATACTGAACTGAGACATATTTTAAATTGTAACACCCTTAAAATTATATCGTTAATATGTTGGCGATATGTACCGTGTCCGTGACCAATGATCTATAATATTATTATATCAGTGACCGTGACATGAACCACGCGATGACGCAATGGACCCTTTTCACAAGACTGTGATGACGCGTTTAACGGTCATCAGCATCATAAATCCTCGAAAGTTTTTCATATTTGTATTTTTAAAAAATGTATGTACATTTATAACACTATTCTTTGTATTATATCACTTTTGCATCAAATTACAAAAAAAAACAGTTAACGCTAATGTGAGGGTGTTTCTAATGCAGCGTCTATGGGAGGGACCGTAAATTTGACATCGTTCTCTCTTCTGACTGCCGTTATCAGTCTCTCTCAATTTTTTCTTTTGCTATTTGAGCAAATGGGAATGCAAAAAATATATTTGTGATACTCTCCCATTCACTGCTCTTCAAGTTAACCCAACTATGACGACTTCCGCTGCTGAGAAACCCGGAAATGTGAAAAGGGTCCAATTAGCTCACGACGTAAAGAATCGCCGAATCTGTTTATTTGAACAGATTCGTTGAAAGAGATTTGTTCAAAAGAAACGATTCGCGGGCATTAATCGGACTTTTCCTCACTTCATTGCAGTCTTTCTCTGTTCGCCAGATCTAGAGCAACTGCAGCCAGCCTTGTGTGACCTGGTATGATGGCCCAATTAATGATGAATTGCCATTCTAAAACATACAGGGCGTTAGACTATGTGAAAATGTTTCGTTCCTGTTTAAAAAGTAAGGTTTAAGTGCTGTAATTCCACACTAGAACTGTGCTTCTCAGCCTCCAAATTATGTAGTCAAACATGTCCTTCTCACCTTGTGTTTCTGAATAAGTGTTGAGTTACTGCAGAGGTTTTAAGGCTGAATGTGCTGAAATGAAAACTAGTGAAACACATGCACATGGGTGTTGTCTGTTTCTTGGATCCAAAGTCCAATTACTATCTGCTATTGTTTTTGTTCATATTAAGTTTATTGTGGATAATAAAATCTCCTGGAATTTATAATAAAGACTGATCATTGACTCCTGGAGGTTTCGTTTACAGTATTAGGGAAAGTTTCTAGGTCTCCAAGCCACCAAAGTATGTTTATTAAAAAGTTTCCAAGGTCACATTCTTTCGATTCATTCATGGCGGTCTGAATCCTCTTAGTGTTTTGGGCGCATTGGCCAAACGACTGACCTTCATAAACAGTTTGGCTTATGAACCACAGGAAACAGATGCTCAGTCATCACAATGTGTTAAAAATGGCGAGGCTTGTGGATTTCCGGGTTTTGTTTGGAAATGTTGTAGGCAGTGGATTGTGTTGCAATCGGATCAGCCACTCATTATCATATCATTGTTTAAAGATTTCAATTAAACTATTAAGGTAATCATGATCACTTTCTGTATTGCCCTTAATATTTTATATGTTATGGAGAATTTAAATTTGTCAGAATAGTCAAATGTTCATCTGATTCTTTTCACAACTGTGTACTGAATCAGATCAGCTTTCTTAACTTATTGCATAAACTTTTTTGTCAAGCCCACTCAACAATAAGTGATATTAATTTTGTTCCTTTTTGATTATACTTACAGTTGCTAAAGGAAAAGATCAATGGAGTTGAAGGAACAAAACTGGATGAGGAATTCCTCATCATGGAAAGGGTATAAATATCAATCTCAGCAAAATAAAGAAAAAAGTTTCGAAATTCAAGATCTCAATGAATCAAAATATCTTTTTCGTTTTTCTATTTTATTGATTGTTTTATTGTAGAAAACTGATATTACCCACAAACTGATTCTCGACCTTGTTCCAAAAACTATAGGATATCTTCAGCCAAACCCAGGTTTTTATTCATTTAATACAATTTAGATATTGTAATATTTATTATACAATATATATTATAATATTATGTATTATATATTATAATATTTATTATAACATTTATTTAAATATTTTTTTTTAAGGTTTAGTTAATGTGATTTTGCTGTTGTTGTTGTTATAATTCATTGATTCTCTTTTGCTTTTTTGTTCTTCAAGCATACAGAGCAAAACTCAGCATGCTCAATACAGTGTCCAAAATTCGTGGGCAGGTGAAGGCTGTGGGCTATCCTCAGACAGAGGGCATTCTAGGAGACTGCATGCAGCGCTATGGCAATGAGCTTGGAGCTGAGTCTGGTTTTGGTATGGTTGAGACAAATTAAACACAATGAGTATTTTTATTTTTACTGCTTTAAAAATGTCAAAATACAAGTTCTGAGTTTTGCTACAATTGTAGGTTTTGCTCTGCTTGAAATGGGAGAGGCTTTGAAACAAGTAGCCCAGGCAAAAGACTGCATGGATGTCCGAGTGAAACGAACCTTCATTGATCCTCTGCAGTCCCTGCAGCACAGAGAGCTGAAGGAAATTGCGGTCAGTCTGTATGTTGTAAATGGGCATGGTATCATTTTGATGATAAAATCAGATTTACTAATGTTCAGATTACCTGTCATTTTGTAGATGCATTGTAAGATGCATGTAATGTTGTGATTGTATGACTACATTTATTCTGAGCATTTAAAGAGAAAATAGAATGCATTTTGTTGTGAATGAAGGCATAAACATAGCTTTTCTTCTTTTTCTGGTTATCAGTATCATCTGAGAAAACTTGAAGGTCGCCGTCTAGATTTTGATTACAAAAAAAGGCGTAAAGGAAAGATTGCAGACTCCGAAATTAAGAAAGCATTTGAAAAGTTTGAAGAATCCAGAGAACTGGCTGAGAGAAGCATGTTTAATCTCCTAGAGAGAGATGTAAGTTAGTGTGTGTGTGTGTGTGTGTGTGTGTTTTTAATAAATCTGCAAAAATGTCAACAATTCTGTGTTTTTCTGTCAATATGGGGTGCTGTGTGTACATTAATGAGGAAAAAAAATTAACTTAAATGATTTTAGCAAATGGCTGCAATATAACAAAGAGTGAAAAATTGAAGGGGGTCTGAATACTTTCCGTACCCACTGTATAATTGTATTATTTGTTTTTGCTTATTTGTTTAGTTTTTTTCCAGACATAAATTGTTTGATTGTTTGACATTTTTGTTTTAGGTACAACGGATGCAACACCTCTCGGGTCTTTTAGAAGCAGTAATGGACTACCACCGCCAGTCATCCCAGATTCTAGAAAATCTCAGGAGTAGTTTGCAGAGCAGGTTAGAATCATGATTTCTGCTGTACTTATTTCCTATACTTACCTTGGTTTCATTTAATGTGCCTGCTTATTTTTCACTGTATATAGGATAGCAGACGCAAGCAATCAACCCAAAAGAGAATTTGCATCTAAATCAGTTGCGAGCACAGTGTGCTATACGGATACTTATGGATTTTACACATGCTCATCCGGTCAGTCATCAGTTGTGATATTAAGTCGTTTGATTACATTAAACAGAAACTGTTCACAAAGAGTTTCTGAATGCTCTGCTAGCTGAAATGCTGTATTATGTACCACAGATACTGAGATTACTGAAACTTTGAGTGAGAAATGTAAGTCATTTTAAATGTGATACACAAACTCTCAGCTATTTTATTAGGTAGCTGGAAGTACCCCAGCTTGCTTTGCTACTAATGTCTTTCAATCTCTCTTTACCAGATGCAGCGGTTGTGGTTCACCCTCCTGACAAAGTCACCATTAAAGCTCCAACAACAGACAAGCCAACCAGCAACAGTGAGTTTTTTTTTTTTTTAATTCAGCAAGGATGCTTTAAATTAGTCAAAAGTGACAGTAAAGATTTCTGTCTGAATGAAACGCTGTTCTTTTGAACTTTATATTCATCAAAGAATCCTGAAAAAATGTAATGGTTTCCACAAAAACATTAAGCAGTTAATTAGAATATCAAAATTTTTGACAATAAGAAATATTTATTGAGCAGCAAATCAGCATATTAGAATGATTTCTGAATTACAGTGTGATACTAAAGGCCGAAGTAATGACTGCTGACAATAAAGCTTTGCCATCACAGGAATAAACAATCCAAAAACAATCTGAAAACCAAATGTTAAACACTCAAAAATGAACATACATTTGTCACAAATGATTCACAAAAGTGTCACAAATTTGTGTATGTGATTAGTGAGCTAGAAATAGTCACAGAATCTTTTTTTCCCCCCAATTTTAAATCATAATGCACTTTTTACATTTTTAAATATTGATTTTTCAATGTGGTCTTAGACTTTCATTTTGTATAATTCATAAAATAATAATATAATTTAATATAATAGTAACAAGGAATACTTTCATATTTATATGAAACATTAGAATTTGTCTGTTTTTTTTTTTTGTTTTTTTGCTGTAAAGTGACCTTAACCTTGGGAAAGAAGCTGCATAAATAAACTGTATTTTTCTTCTTGTGTGCTAGATGATAACGGCCCCCCCTTGGATCAGCCTTGCTGTCAGGCACTTTACAGTTTCCAGCCAGAAAACCAGGGAGAGCTGGGCTTTAAGGAGGGCGACGTCATCATTCTGACCAGCCAGATCGATGAGAACTGGTGTGAGGGAATGATCAGAGGGGAGGCTGGCTTATTTCCCATGAACTACGTCAAAGTCCTTGTACCTCTGCCACAATGACGGCAGGAAGGCACTGCAGCTGGACAACATGAACTGTGGCAGTTTTTGGAGATTAAAAAACGGATTATTTGATAAAGGTTAATATGTGAAGCACATCTGAGCCCTTGCTGTATATTTATCTATATTATCACTATGCAAAGTCATGTACCCTGCCTTGTATTCCTTATTTGACTATTTTTTATGAATCTTAAAATGTTAAATAAATATGCTGCTATATTAAAGTCTTAAGTATCCTTTGTTATACTGTAAATGCACTATGAAAGTTTATGTATGATCATTTTAATACAATATGGTCATAGACTAATTAGATCATATTTTTCGCATTTTAATAGCACTCAGAAACATTAAATTACTTCTCTGAGTGATTTTATTTTTTCTTTGTCTTTCCTTAAAAAGAAATCTTCTAGTAAGTGTTCTGTTGGTCTTATTAACTTATGTTTACTTGAATGTAACAGCGCTATAAACACTTGAACGCATATTCCTCCACAGACGTGTTTATTAATGCAAACTTTGACACAGACGAAATGACTTATATTTGCCCAACCCACACAGGCGTTGCTGTAATTCCGAATGTTTCCTGTTTTTGAACCCAGCGGCGCGCCGTAGTGGCGGTTCGTTACTGGAGCCACGGATGTTCAAACTTGATTGATATGACAAAGTTTTACTTTCAAATAAAAGGACTCATCTGTTCAACCACCGTGGATGTATTGTGAAGTTTGTTTACGAGCATATCCCTCATTTCTCCCCACTCTTTTATAGTCTAAACCAAGGGTAAGTAGCTAGCTGTTGCTAATCAGCTGATGAATGCAGAAACTGTTAGCACAACATTACGAACAGCAGCAAAAAAGTGCGAATTGGAGAGTAAAGGTGTTTTGATGAGCGTTACGGATTCATTCCTAATGTTTTTTTGATCAGAATTAGCCGTTACAGTCGCTTTTATGTAACTGAATTGGTTCTAACTAAAGTTAAAGATTTCATGAACTAGCTGCATTGCCCTTCGGCTAACTTGCATGTAACTTAGTCAAAATCACTGAGGATATTTTAAGCGTTGTAAAGGCATAATTCAGACTCTAAATAATAGTTCAGACTACCAATAACACCATGTAAAGGTAAATTGGTGGCTATGCAAAACGTTTCATTATTTGCTAATCAGAAAAGTGACAACAATGCTTTAAAGTGCAATACTACACGATTGTTTGTAACTATTATTCCTGTACAAAAGCATTCGGGATTCTTGTCAACATTGCACGCGGTAGGTCGCGAGCCTGACAGCTGTCCATCTTTTGTCTCCTGGCAGCCGTTGCTATGGAGGAGGTCACGCGGCTGGTGTCGTCAGGTGACTGCCTGAAGATCTGGGACTCGACTTCCATGACGGTGGTGGAGCAGTTCAACCCTCACAGTGCCACGCATCCAGTGGCTCAAGTGTGCTGGAGCAGCAGCAGTATCCTCTATCACTGTCACATCACTCTAAATCATTTCCATCAGCATTCTGAGCATCATTCACCCGCAGTAATGCCAGTCGACATTGATAATGTGTGTTTGGAGCATATTTTCGAAGAGATATTTCCAAGGACAACCATGTTTACCAAAGTGAAGTTTGAAATTTCTCGGACTCTGGAGAAAACTGTAGAAAAACAGTGTAAAAATAAATAAATAATAATAAAAAATGTAATTATATTATATTAAAATAATACTATTCTATTAATATAATTAGATTTAAATAAGTAAATTCATAAAAATTATATTGAAATAAATAGATAATTAGATTCAAATAAATACAGTTATATTAAATTAATTAAAAAAATGTTGATTCAAATAAACAATACATGGTACAGTATTATAGTGAATTGAAAATAAACCTTATTGACACTTAATAGGAACTAAATATTTTCCGAATAATATTTTAAATTTGCATAATATACCAATTTAAATGATTATAATTTGTGTCTTTATACATGAAAATATATAGCTGCCTTTTAAATGTTAGAATGGGGACCCTCGCATGTAGATGATATTTAGGGTCCGTGGCGTCTAAAAGATGGAAAGCCCCTGAGTTGGACAAACACGGTGCATATTTATTTTTTCATAGATGGAAAGGTGTTTGCCTTGACTGTGTTCAGACCAGTACTTGGTCAGTGCCAGCAGTATAGGGGACAAGCTGGTGGTGTCCAGTCTCAAGTCATCTCCAGTTCCAGTAATGGAGCTGGGTGAAGGGGTGAGCTGAGGACCTTGATATCTTCTATCCTATCTAAATATGTCTTGGTTATGTATGCCTCATAATGGCCTTTTGTTTGTAGAAAAAGCAAACCCGTGTTAGTCTGAACTCCACGTCACAGTTCCTGGTCAGCGGAGGACTGGATAACACGGTTAATATCTGGGACCTAAAGACAAAAAGGTTGCACCGAAGCCTGAAGGTATCACATGGTTACAAACATATTTTAAGCATGTTTGTTTCAAAGTTTCAAAGGACATTCAGTGGGAAGTTTGTTGGAAGTATGTTCTTCCATGAAGCTAAAATACAACCACAAAAATGCCCCAAAACAGACATCGGTGGAATCAGCCGCATCCTAATCCATCCTGATCCATGTCTCTTTCTGTGTAGGACCACAAGGAGGAAGTGACATGTGTATCTTTTAATGGAGGCGATAGCTACACAGCATCAGGCTCCACTTATGGAGATATCATCCTCCACAGTATCACAACCAACCTGTCCAGCAAACCCTTCGGCCATGGGCCAAATGTGGTGAGTTTGACATTTTTAGTCTGACAAAATATAGTGAGTGAACTAAACTAAACTTTATATTTTAATTGTCCTCAGTTCAGTTTTGTATAAATGAGAAATATTACTATTGTAATATTTCGCTGTAAATTAAAGAAATTGAGCATTTGAGAAAAAGTTTACTTTATTTTACAGTACAACTGTCTTAATTTCTTCATTTTCAAATGTTCAACCATCTAGATTTTATTTTGGTGGAAAACTGCATGTAGACTTGGTTTCATTTCGATTAATCGGGAAGCCCTAGTAAAAAATACAATGTGATCTCTCTTCAGCCCATCCATGATCTGCGGTACTCGCTGGTGAAGAGGTCTCTGCTGGGCACGGTATCGGACAGTGGCTCTGTGGCACTCTGGGATGCTAACACTCAAAAGGAGCTGCACTTGTTCAAAGGGGCGCACAAAGCCCCATGTTCAGGGTTGGCCTTCTCTCCAGCCAATGATTTACTCTTCGTCACTGTGGGGCTTGATAAGAAGATTGTCTGCTATGACACCTCCAGCAAAATGTAAGAGAAAACATCACATTTAATAAGCAGTTTGGACACTTTTTTTTAAAAACCAATTTAATGTGTGTGCTTATCTCCACAGGGTGTTTCGTAATAAGCAGGTGGAGTCTCCACTCACAGCCATTGATTTTACTCCAGATGGAGCTGGACTGGTTGTGGGCTCAACACAGGGCAGAATTTACCTGTATGATTTGAGAAACCTCAGCGTGCCAGTCAAAATCACCACGGCTCACAAGACGTCAGTGACCTGCATTCGCTTCCAGAACTCCACCTCCAAGTTAAAGGTACAGCTGTCTGTGTTATTTGTACATAAACACATTTCTTCAGAACCACCCTCGGTTTCATGTGAGGTAGTGTTTTTTTTGTTAAACTGACTCATTTCCTCATCATTCAAAATGTGGGGATAAAAATATCATGCAAACATTTGTTTATTTAATAGTTTGTTTGTTTCAATTTTTTGGTAACTTCTCATATAGCTTAAAAATTCTGATTGAGAATATATTTTGAATGATTGATTGGTATGTATCATGCAGTGTTTTATGTGAAATTCATTTTATTTAATTAGTTTGAATTAATTTAATGTAGTATTTTTATTGATGCAATATTTAATATTTAGTTATTCTTATTTTTATTAATTTAATATTTTTATTGAACTTATTTAAATTTTTGCAATATCTGATATAGTTATGATTAAAGATGCAGTAACATGCATTTTATGAAATAATTTACTTAAATTTTAATGTATTATGATTTTCTTATTTAATTTTTTTATTTTACAATTTTTGTAACATCTGATGATTTAAAAAAATGTTGCCCCTACATTCAACTATTCAAGATTATTGAAAATGACTTGTTTCCAGTCCACTAAAACATCCAGCAAGTCTTCTCAATCAAATAAGAGGATCTCCGCAAAACTGGGCGGTCAGCAGACGGGACCTTCCACTCCAACATCTACAGTCCCACCCAGTGTGCCTGGCTCTGAATTTCCTGGTGATGGACAAGCCCAAGTCACAGGTCAACATTCCTTTTTATGTCTATAGGTGGTTTTATTCCTTATTCAGTCATATTTGGTTAGCTCGGTTAGCATTTCAAAGCCCTGTTTATAGCTTTTGTAATGGTTTTATAGGTACTGAATGTTTTGTCTTTGTAGGTACTGCTGGTGAGGTGTTCTCCAGAGAGGCGGAGGGTCAGCACAGCCAAGGTCAGCTACCGAACGTGGAGAAATTTAGCAGCATCGGTCGGAACAGCCTAAACCTGGATATTTTCTCCCCTCTTAATGATGGTAAGATCACTTCTTTTTCATTTCTATTAATGTATTGTCCTTGTTTTTTCTTCTTTATCTTCATCTGTCTTCTCTTTTTATGGTCCCTTTCTGGGCTTTTGCATCCTCTCTACAGGTTTCAAAACACATGGTTTTGCTGATACTCCAACTTCAAGAAATGGTGAGTGTTTTTTATTATGTTCAGTCATAAATGGCAGAGTTCAAGAGATTATGATTGTTGTATATTAATTATATGGCTAAATGTTTTTTTGGCATTTCTCTCTTGTCTCTAGGAGGCAGTATAGATATGTTCTCGAGGGAAGGGGAAGGCCAGCACAGCACAGACCGGTTCAGAGTCGGCCGAAACAACTTGGACATCTTTTCACCTGTACGAGATGGTGAGGCAACTTTTCCAACTGGTCTTTCACAGCTTTGCCCACTACATTTAATATATGTAGACTACTGTAGGTAGATTTTTCTTCTACTTGTTTGTAGATTTTTTCATATTTTTAAAGTCACATATGCTCACCAAAAATACAGTAAAAACAGTAATATTATGAAATATTATTACATTTAAAATAACTGTTTTCTGTTGTAATATATTTTAAAATGTAATTTATTACTGTAATGCAAAGCTGAAATGTCTGCGGTTATTACTCCAGTCTTCAGTATCACATGATCATTCTAAAATGCTGATTTGCTGCTCAAGAAACATTTATTATTATCGTTGTTGAAAATAGTTGTGCTGCTTAATGTTTTTGTTGAAACCAGGATACATTTTTTGAACGTGACGCTTCTATTTTCAACAGCATTTTAAATAGAAGTATTTTATAACATTATAAAAGTTTTGCTGTCACTTTTGATCAATTTTTAAAAGTATATAAAAGTATAAATTAAAATATTAATTAAAAAGGTTACTTATTCCACACACACACACATATACTGTATATTTACTCATTTATTTACTAATTATTTGCTAATTATCTCTTTAGAGTATAAAGGACACAGGCTGAGTGATGTATCAAGTGGAAAAAAAGGCAAGTTTGTATAAACTAATCAACATGAGCATAATATGAACAATGAAATAACAAGGTTTCATTTACGTTTACCAACATTAGCATTTCCTGTGTTACTAGACTTTGAATACCTACCTCATTTTCCTGGTGGCTCGTCCCAGAGGAAGACCCCATTGGGCACTCCAGGCAGTCGCTGCTATAGTCCGTCTGTGGTTCAGACTCCTCCACCAATCAAAGAGGAGGAGCCCATCACTACCCCACCGCAACAGACTGATTTACAGAACGGCAACAAGGTCCAACTTGTTTTGTTTATTATCTAACACTTTTTTTGTATTCATAAATTCAACTTTTTTTTATCTGGATTATTGACAGGTGGAGAAGAAGAACGTCCTCCAGCAGGACTATGATGTCATAACCACGCCCCCTGCTGCTCAGAGCACACGTGTTCAGTCCGTGCAGCCGTTCAACACACCTGAGCCCAGTCAGAGGAGAGATCTGCCCTCCCAGCTCATCTATGACTCGCCAGTCAGCGGAGCTCCTCCTGCTGCTGCACCAGGTATGTTTGAATGGGCCACAAGTAGATTAAAAGTTGCTTTAGGCTGCGTTTACACTGGAAACACAAACACAAATCGGATTTTTTTGCTCACGTCTGACACAGATTGGAATTTTTGTTCAGAACTCCAAGCCACCACAATGCAAGGGCGGCACGTTTGCCCATAAAGACAGCGTTTTAATGCCGGCGTGCTGTATGCGCTCGCATTTTATTGAGGTGGGAACTTTATATATTGGTAAGAAATTGCACAACATTCAGGAGTTAGTTTTCCAATAATAATGGCCACTCAACGTGAATTATATAAATAATTTTAATAACACGGCCATTCAAAACCCAAGGGTCTACCATGTGCATAGTAAAGTGATCAGATGGGAATTTGGGGCGAAACACAGATATCGGATACCAGTCGTGTCCAAAGTGAATGTAAACAGATGGGTCAAAAAAATCAGATATGGTCAAAAGATCGGATCTGTGCATTAAGATCTGCAGTGCAAACGCAGCCTTACACAGTGAGTGACGGATGTTTTGATCTAAAGTTCCCGCTCCAGCGGCAGCAGCCGAATCTGGAGCCGAGGGCCGTGGGGCTCCACTCACCTCCGTTCAGATGAACTTTGTCCGTAATATGATCCATGAGGCACTGGAGGACTTCAGGTGAGTTAACACAGATTTCTGAAGAGTAATCTAGAGATCACTTATTTAAATTAAAATGACTGTTTTCTATTGTAATACATTTTCAAATTTATGGAAATTAAAAAAATGTAAAAAACAAAACCGTAATTCAAACTATTAATAAAATATTCAGTAGTATCTCAATGATACAAAAATAACACTAGATTGTGTGTGTGTGTGTGTGTGTGTGTGTGTGTG